TTCTATTTGCAAATTAAGTGACATGAAAGTTAATCAAACATTTTGGTGATAAAAATGGCCATTTTATGAATTGACATTTTTCCTATGTTAACATAGAACAAACTGGCTTTATAGCTAATGAATTACTGAAAATCTTTGCTATTTTCCCATGTTTAGTTTGTTTGTTTGTGTTTATTGATATTGGGAATCGAACTCACAACCATCCACTTGCCAGGCAGGTGCTTTCAATGCTAAGCTAAATTCCCAGGCCCTATTTTTCCATCTTAAGCAAGTTTCCTAAGTTATGTCTTCTACAGTTCAAAATTTTTTTGTTTTCAAAAATTTAAATCATGATCAACACCTGATTCAAAAAACGTCATGTAAGATAAAAGTATCACTATTACATTTTGTTATGCAGGCACCATTGGCTAACAATCTCATATGTACAAAGGGTGATGTGTTAGTTACTCTTTACTTGTCACTGAGACAAAATGCCTGATGCACCAAGTTGAGAAAGGAAAGGTTTATTTCTTACAGTTTTTGGAGGTTTTAGTCCATACTCAGTTGGCTCCAAGGTAGGGGTGACAAGGCTGGGCCACAGTTCATGGTGGCTACAAACAGCAAGGCCGAAACCAGCAAGAAAGCGAGACACACCTTCTTCCTGCCATTACATCACATCCTGGCTGCACCCCTAGGCCGCTGTAGCAATCATACCCCCAATCCAAGCACTAGACAATGAACCAATCACAAATGCACAATGCAAATGCATGAGGCCCGGGGGCCACCAACATAAACCATGACTGAAACCATGATGCTCCCTCAGAGGAGCCCCATGACAACCAATGGGAGGGCAGAAGGGAATGAGCAGCACCACTTTTTGCCAGGTGCCCACTGGCACACAGGGAAAGGCTGAGCGGGGCATCACTGAATCCCGACTGTCTCTAGCATAACAGTAACAAAGCTCATGGCCAGCTGGCCTGCAGCCCTTCTACACCAAACCTACTCAGGGACTCTCCTAGCTCATTGGATAGGGCTTGATCTCTTTTGTGCACTAACATAATGCCTGCCCAAGCAAATTTTGTATGTAAAGATTAAGAAAGAAAAAAACCACTGCAATACAATCCATCTACTATATGCACAATTACAAACTGATCAATAAGATAATGTCAAGTGTAGCAATTATATCCAAAGATACTTTGGCCAGGTTGCTTCAGAGGTTGATTGGCAGCCTTAGAAACAATCTCTATATAGATACCTATTTTCTTCTCTAGAATTCCTGCAAAATCATCCACAAGTACTTTTTTGTCATTATGTAACCAGTAGGCTAAATGTTCCCCTAGACACTATCACCAAATGAGCTTATAATCATGAAAGAATATTAATGATCTGCCCACGACTTCTGCTAAGAATTTTTATTTAAGACTGTGGCGCCTTTCATTTGTTTAAAAAAAGAAGTAGGTAGCATTATTGTTCCTTGGCAAGATTAAATAAACTGCCAAATAACACAGTCCTTATTTCTATGTATTTCCTTAATGACACAAAAGTTCCTCTATATTTGCAAGTTAAAAAAAAAATCTCAGGTTCTAGATTCGTGGAAGTATTAGAAAATCCTGGTGGGGTTTACAGTGTCCACCATGAACTGAGTGGTCCAGGATCCCGAGAGGAAGATCTTCTCGTCAGCTGGTTTCATATAGCTCATTAGACTTATAATTCTTGTCCACTCATGAGCCGTTCGTGCCAGTGAAACTTCTTTACCCACAGACCTATCCATCCTCACCTCCACCTCCACTAAGGGAGTTCATCACTTCTCACCCAGGTTACCTACAACAGCCTCAGCCTTGCATGTGTCCCACAGCCTTGTGAGTGATCTGTTACTTGTGCATCTATGACACCAAATTTTCTAAGCCCCCTGAGGGCAGGCTTCGGGTACTCCATGACACTCTTTGCAAGAATAAAAGAATAAACTGCTTGGTTTATCTTGGATGATTGAAAAAAGTGTTAGAATAAATGCATCTCTCAGCTTTTGTCCCTAGGACCAGACTCTCCTTCAAATCCCCACAGTGCTACCCAGAATAATCTTCCTAAAATGTCCATCTCAACATAGCATGCATCTGGCTAAAATCCTTTTATGCTATCTAAAGCCTTCGGGATAGTGTCCAGAGGTTCCTGTCTATCGCTGTCCTGTCTGCCACCGCTCTCCCTGCCTAAGGAAGCTCTGACAATGACCTGTACCCACAGATGCAGTCCCGACCCGCTGTGCATTTTCATGCACACCCCCAAGTCCTTACTGCTTTCCCTGCCAGGGTTGTCCTTGGTGTCTGGACTCCTGAACTCATAAATCCATCCTTCATAGTTCAGATCAGATGTCACTCTCTCCAAAAAGCATATCCTACGTCTTCAGTCTGGATTAGTTTCCTCTCCTTGCTTTCAAAACACTCCATAAGATGAAGCAATTCAAAAAGCTAATTTCCTAGAAGTGGCTATGTGGGGAGGGAGGGTCCTTTAGATTTGGCAAATATTTGGTTCTTGAATTTCTAATATCTATTATTCTTGAGAAGAAAATTAACATCATCATGTACTGTCTCTAGTACCACCTGTCAACATTTTTTTCTTTTTGCATGTTTCCTTGTAAAGTGATGATAAAATACATTTGTTGATTTGAAAAAAAAAGCTGTAGAATATTTTAAATAAAAGAAATAGCAATGATAGTTCCAGTTATATAGATATCATCTATTAAATATCATGCACTTGGAGTAAGAACCTGGCTAATGCATTTACAAACTGAACAATCACACACAGCATTATATATATATTTCCGTGTACAGATGGTACATCTAATGTGTCAAGAAGTTAGCGAGCTTTCTCAATATCCCATTTATTACACAAACTCACTAGACTTTGAGCAAATGTCTCTGAATTCCAAAGATTTTGCTTTCTAGCACTGTACTGCACCAGCACATAGTGAGTGCTCCATAAGTATTTATAAATAAACTGGCTGCAGTTAACCTGCTTTTACCTTAAGATGTTGAAGCTACTCAAAATAAAACCAAAATGAAGCTTAAGGACCACACCAAATTGGACGGTCTAAAATTCTTTGTCAAGGAATGTACTTCAGGGTTTAATCACATTACTTTCACCTCGGTGGCCAGTGCAACCCTGAATGTTTAATTATGCTACTAGTTTTATATTTAATCAATCTTTTTCATTAAAATCCAGTGAAGCAGACAACAGGGATAATTACTGCAGAATCATCTTAATTAAAAATTTTAGCTTCTAATTAAGAGCCATTGTTTATCTCATCAGGAAACAGTTAAAATTCATGACAGGGTCGCCCTGTTCATTAAATTTTTAGCCTTTTTAGAGCTTGGACATAGCATATGACACTCTTACTTATGTGAGCATTTGTGTTTCTATATGCACACATGCTTCAGTATTTTGAAGAGTATTTTAATTTTATCAAATGGAAAAAAAAAGAATGAAACCCAATGGAAACTCTCACCAAAACCCTTGATCCAGTATTTATGCCTTAACTAATTACAAAATGTTCAAAACAAATTATTCATTCTATTGATTGCTAGTAAAAAGCATAATTATATGCACAGCTCAACAAAAGCTGCCATAAAACTTTTTCACAAGTTATGAATTTAAATACTGCTGAACATTCACTTGAATCTCTGCAGCAGCAAAAAAAACTATTATTATTCCCCTAGACTCACCTTTCTGGGAAATTTCCTTTCACCATGAGAATCATGTGAATAGGTCTTCGGATTAAGTCACAGTCTCCTTGGGACGCAGGGACCCCAATCCATTCAGCTGATAAATACAGTCAGAGTGCCTGTCTCTTGGGAAAGCCACCTTCATTACTCACTAAGTTGCACAGCAACCCTCAACCACACACGTGTTGTGCAACTCATACAGCAAATGTCATCCAATGAGACAACTGCTTTAAATCACTGTCTTCGCCTTCACGGTGAGAGGCCGTTCTTTACGCCTCACAACTTTAACTTATGAATCTATTATTTTATCAAACATGATCACAGACCCAAAGATGAACAAAGGGTAGCTGTAGGGAGTATGAGATAGAAGATCTGATCAACTACAATCCAAGCAGCATGGTGGATGGCTATTCGTCAATATCCATGATTGGAAAACTTGAACAAGGGAAGAGCCTGAGAGGGCGAGAGCACCAATACTGGAAAGATAAAACCATTGGGATTGGCTTAAAGACGATTTAAATGTTATCATAAAATGATACTGAAAAGTTCCTATACAGAAAGATTTGAAAAATCAAATGACCTCCAGCTGTGACAATGGACAGCCTGGCCCCCCACCAACACTAAAGTTGGTAAAACGGGTTTAGATACTTGAAGCATTTGTGGAAAGACCCCATGCAATGGTCTTCAACAGAGGTCTTCAACGTGCCCTTTAAAGGGAACACAGGCAGCAATTTGAAGAAATGACAGTCTCCTCCCTGCCCTCAACAACCTCTTCTGCTCCTCCTCGCTCCTTACAAATTTCCTCCCAACTCAAGAACAGTGAAAGCCACAGCTTTTTAAAGTTCTTGCTTTTAGTTAGTCCTGGCAAGTGGGTAATGATGATTATTTAAAAGTTCAGCCCCTTCCTAAAGGACTTTGCAAATAATTTTTAAAGGAAAAGTTTTAAAGGAAAGGAAATGGTGGGCAGTATGAATATTCAATGTTTCTTGAACAAGCCTTGATTGTAATAATTGCTTTCACTATGAAAAACGATGGAGAGAGAAATGTGTGTAGTCAAGAGTGTTCCTCCTCTTTCAAAGTTCCTAAAAGTACCTAGTTGTGTTATAATGGTCTCCATTTCTATGAAGTATCATCTTGAGAACAGAAACACAGCACAGATTTAAGTATGCATGCCAGCCAGACCTCCAATGGAACACCAACACGCAGATTTTAACACAAACTCAAAGGTGTATTGTCTTCTGGGAACAAATTGTACATAGTTCCAGATATTTCCTCTTCCAGGAAATAGCAAACTCTTTCGCTCACCTATTTCACAGGTATAAGGATGGTGTGCTTTAAATCCTCTCTGTTGCACCAAGGCTGCTCTTATTACAACCAATGCTTCATCTACCCCACCACTGTACATCAGCGCTGAAAGACTCCATGCAGATAAATTCACCAACTGGCAGAAGATGGGCTGATAAGAGGAGCATCATTATTTTGCAAAATGGTCAATGCAGGAGGCTGTAAAATAAAAATATAACCAAAGGATGCTTCACCGATGTAGCACATTGTATGACAGAGAAGCTGGTGAATCATGTGATTTCCTCCTCTGTCTGTGACATGTATGACAATGTTATGCTCATGGAGTGTCTGGGAAACAGGGCTAACTGGCTTATAAATTGTTTTGGCAGGGAGATATCAAAGACTTGATAAATAGATTATTAAAATAAAGAAGATAATAAGAAAGATGCCCTGATAGATGTTGAAGCTTCTATTTCTGTCTTAGCTACTTTAATGGGGAGACAAAAAGCCACTATTTATTGTATAATCATTATATTCCAAACACTAGTCTTATATATAGTTATATTTCCCCTGTTTAACATTTGAGGAACATTCCTATGAAGATATTACTGTATCATTTTATTGTCAAGGAAACAGACCACTACAGCACAGAGGTAACTTGCCCAAATAACTTACATGGACCAAAGCCGTGAATTAAAATCATTTTGTGGAATTCCAAAGCTTGTGGTCTTAATCACTTTGTTCTGAGCCTGATACTCAAAGCATCTTACAATATAAAAATTTCAATTCTCTTGGAAGGCAAAGAATTTTAATGGTCAATAATGATGCCTTTTGTGGGGAAATCTATTTTTTAAAAATCAGGGTACTCTTAATTCCATTTTTTAAATCATCCAGTAGGAAAAACAATCTGTCATAGAACCAGATCTCACTGATTTAAATTAAAATGCCAACTGAAGTAATTTTTGTGAACTTTAGACTTTGAGCATCAATGCTGGCATGTACTGTTGACTGGAATACCCTTAGCGCATACCCGCACAAATATAAATATCATAAAGGATTCACAAAGCTCATCTAATGGAAACAGAAAAAATAATTAAAATTTTTCTCTGTACATATTTACCCATTGGTATCCTCAACTGTGATTTACAAATGACTTTTTAAGGTAGTGATGTTTACCCAATGTGATAGGTCTTATATTCACAAAATGGTAAAATTATACTTGTGAAAGGTTCAATTTGTAACAATTACTGTCTTACAATTTACCAGATAGAAAGCTAGGCAGATGCATTGAAGGATGAATATAGAAAGGGGAGGGAGACAAAAGAGGGTGTAAGGAAGGAAGGGAAAAAGAAGGGAGGGAAGAGAGAGGCAGGAAGGGAGGAGGGCAGGAGGGGGGAAGGGGACAGAAGAAACACACGGAGAGGGGAAGGGAGCCAGCAATTTAAAGACTTTTCATTTGCAAGTAAATGTCAGTATTTTAGATCCCTAAAGTTACCTATTCATAATTCTGCACCATAAAATTGAGCCCCTACTGGGCAAAGCAGACTATCTTTAGCTCAGAAATGTCCTTGCACTGCTATAACAAATCACTACACCAAAGCAACACAAATGTACCTTACAGTTCTTGGAGATCAGAAGGCTGCAATGAGTTTTATTGTCTAAAATTAATGTCTTGGCAAAGCTGCATTCCTCTCGGAGGCTCTGGCATTTTCCAACGCGCACGAGCTCCCTGAATTCCTTATTTTGTGGCTTTCTGCATCTTCACAGCTCATCCCTTCCACCTCTGCGTCCATGGTCCCATCTTCTTCTCCTCTCTGACCCTCGGGCCCTCCTCTTTTATTAACCCTTGTGCTTCTATTGACAACCCAGGGTAACCTTCAACTAAGATGCTTAACTTCATCACGTCTTCAGAGCCTCTTGTGCCATTTAAGATGACACAGGCAAGGGTTCTGGTACCCGAAACACATCTGAGGGACATCGCTCGGCCTATCACAGCTTTGATAGCTGCCCCAGCTCTCTGGGGTTAGGATATTCTTCTTCTAGAAGGAAACTTACTGCTAATCATAGAAGCGGCCAAAGGAAGAGAGAACTCAGGGAGAGTCCTACAGCTTCACTGTCTACTCAATGCTTTCAGCGATTGCATCCAATTTCATGGTTTTAAATACCATACATATGCCAAGAATTCCAAAAATACCTCCCGAGAGCCAACTCAGAATTCCAGCTGCCTACCCAGCACACCTACGTAGCTGCCTCGTAGGCGCATCTGACTCAGCATGCCTAAAAGTGAGCTCCACACTCCTCCTCTCCCAAACCCACTTTCCTCATGGTCTCACACACGCGCGCGCGCGCGCGCACACACACACACACACACACACACACACACACACTCCTTAAAAGCAATTTTCTCCATACAGTTCTTTAGGCCAAAAAAATTTTGCAATTATTCTTGACTCCTTTCTGACATTCACACCCTATATTTAGTCCATCAGCAAATCCTGTCACCATTCCGTTCAGAATGTCTTCTCATCTCCACGCGCTGGTCCAAGCCATCATTATATCGCTCCTGGATTCTTGCAATAGCACACTAACTGGACAGCTTGCTTTCATTCTCTCCCCCTGTGACACAGTCTCAGCACAGCACCCTAGCCTTGATACAGACTAAGAATAGTAGCAGCTCTGGGGTGTCACCCAGCTCCCTCGCTTCAGGACGTGCTCCCCCAAAGCTGGTGACATTGCATGCCAATGCTCTATACTTAAACCCCATTTGGGCAATTTCTCTCCACCCAAGGGATCTGCCTCCTGAAATCCATGCCCTTCCCCTGGCCAGTGCAGACCTACCAAGCTCCAGTGCTCTGCCTCAGTTTGGGACAACTCTGAAGCGCCCTCACAGCTCTGGACCTCCCCATGAATCCCAGAGGCCTCTGCATGAATGCATTCATTTCAGCTTCTCCCTCTGCCCCATGGTTCGCCTTCACTCCCTCAAAGGTGCTTCTCCCCAGATCAGTCCCAGAGTAAATCTGTTGCCTGCAACAATATATTCCAGAATGTGTTTCTAAGAGATTGTCTTGCTCCTCCCCCAAATACTACACAGTTTACCTGCCCACCTCTAGGTCTGCTCAACTCTATTTTGCAGGGGAGTCTTCTCAATCACCCTGTGGCACTAAAATTATTTTGCAGTTATACATGCCACGTGTTTTTCTGCATAGCAATTACTGTTTAACATATAGTAAATGTATTTATTTGGTATCTCTCTCTTCTCATTATAAAGACTTTTGTCTCTTTCATCCTCCATAAGAATATTACATAGTAGGTCTTCGAAACATTTGACAAACGGGTGAATGAGTTCCAATGTGTGCCAGGCACCAATGGGCACATTGATACACAACGTCTTATTTAACACTTATAGTACCCTTAACAGAGAAAGTTTACAATGTCCAGTTTTCAAGTAAGACAGAGACCTGAGTGATCACAGAAGACTATTACATATATAAGGAGTAGAGGAGTCCAGATGTGAATCTGTTTGTCTAAACTAAGCTCCTATAGAATCTCTCCTCAGAGGTTAGCTACCCTACCCTCTTTCCAAGCAAATCTAATCTTTACTGAAAAGACAGTTCTCAGTGGTAAAGACTGAATGAAACAGAAATCATGACCACCCATTTCATAAAACGTGCATGTGTTTACTATCACTGTAGCTGATCTACAAAATTAGTTTTAAAATCTCAGTCATTGTATGACTGAGGTATATGCCCATAAGGGACTAATTAACTTGCAGGTAATTACTTGAACACGCAAAGACCTTAACAAAAGTTAATTAGTTTGTTGGTAGGATTTGGACCAGTAGGGGGCAGGTAACAGGTAAAGTGTTGACAGAGCACAAAAGCCTGGGTTTTATATCTAAATTAATGGAAGACAGTAATTCACTATCTTCTACTTAGCAAAGAAAGCTTTATAAAGGAAGTGGGATTACGGGAACTTTCTGAACTCCAGAGAGGGGGAAGTTCGGCTGGTCTGCACGATGGTCTCATTCTGCACTCAGCACCCATTAACTTCAGACAGAGCTTGCAACCGGATCAGCTGGGCAGGATGCAATGCAAATGGGAAATGAATCTGACCCCACCACAAAAGCCCTGCGCTCCACACACATGTGGGTCTGATGGAATCCACCGGCATAAAAGGAAGGTGAGAATGCTCCAAATTGGCTTTTACCATCTAAGGATGTCACACACAAAGCGAGCATTGTGGCCGCTAATGAAAGACACGTGCTAGAGTGGTTACACATTGCAACCGACTGAAAGCTAATGACATGAAACAGTCCGGTGCCTCCGCACTGACCCCTGTAAAACCTCGGGCCTGACTTGTAACAGGCAGAGCTAAGCCAATTTATCACTGAATTATGCATCATTTAATAAAGACTGGTGTGACTCAACCTGCCAGGCAGGAATGCTAAAAGCTTGAGGAAATGGCCTCTAAAACCCCCTTTCCTCTCCCTAAGTTCATCTTTAACCCTTCAGTAATTGAGGGCCTGATTGAAGTCCAAGTCTAGACTTTGTAAATGTATCACTAAATAACCTAAGGGTTAGTCTGACCTCAGTTGCTTACTTGAAAATTACTACTCTTGCAGGGTTATCTCCTGTAATTCAGCAGAGTGTAAATTAAGTGAAAAGGAGACCATTCTCTTGTTTGAACCACCACCCACATATCCTGAAACTTTGCTTTACAGTATGTTTCCGCTGGGCAAAAGCAAGTGTTGATTTCCCTGGTGTCATTTACAAGGTTATTATCAAAATATATTTGTATTTAGATACAAATTACTCCTAGAGGCTTTTAGGGTCTGCCCGTAGTTTTACATTTCCTAGGACAATGAACCCTAATAACTCCATTACTGCCAGTCATGGAAAAATTAACATATTACAGAAATACATTTCAATACTAGTGAATCATGCAGGGTTGAAAATCGAGATATCCCTTCAAGTTATAGGCCACTGAAATAAATACATGAAAAAATGCTCATCATCATTGGTCCTTAGAGAAATGCAAATTAAAACCACACTGAGATACCATCTCACTCCTGAAAGAATGGCCAGGATCAAGAAAACCGACAACAAATGCTGGAGAGGCTGTGGGGAAAAAGGAACTCTCCTGCACTGCTGGTGGGAGTGTAGACTGGTACAGCCTTTGTGGAGATCTGTCTGGAGATTTCTCAAAAAGTTGGGACTGGAAATCCCATTTATTCCAGCTATTCCACTTCTAGGCATATTCCCAGAAGAACTGAAAGCATCATACCACAGTGATATATGTGCACCTATGTTTATAGCAGCACAATTTGTAATCGCCGGATCTTGGAAACAACCCAAGTGCCCATCAACTGAGGAATGGATAAAAAAGTTGTGGCATTTCTATACAATGGAGTATTATTCAGCTATAAAGAAGGATCACATTGAGATGTTTATCAATAAATGGTCGCAGCTTGAGACCATACTCATTAGTGAAATAAATCAATCTTGCATGTGTGAATACCGAATAGTTTCCCTAATGTAAATAATGATTCAAATATATAAAAATATGTGGTAATCATGATTCCCCATTAGGTGGCCTTGAAGCCTTATAAAGTTTTCACTCATTAATTAGAAAGGCTTTATTCTGGGCTTCTTGATATGAAAATATTTGAAGCTAGAGTATATGAAGTTTTATCCAAATATTTCAAGGAAAAAGACACTATGGTAACTACTATTAAGTCAGGTTATAAGGTGGTGAAGTACTAGGTTGTTGAAACAGTCATGCTGTGACCTCTATTGTTATATTGTTATGTCCTGTTTTATCTCAATCTCCCCCTTAATGTTTCAAAAAAAATTATTTAGTCATTTCTTATGTTTGTCTTAATTAAAGAAAAAATTCAAAAAAATTAGGATATATAAATAGTAACTCTTTTCGATTTCCTATTAACTTGTTTTGAAGTCCTGTAGTACTCCCACGATCTTGTTTTGACTGATTAGACTCTGTTCCATTCTATATGATAGTATCAAGTTTGAAGACATAGGCAACTACTTTGAAGACAATAAGATTCACTAAGATACCCATTCTGGTTTGACTATTGTCTTCTTTGGAAGTCCTGTAATGTTTACAATGCCTAAGTTTTATTGGTCTTGTTCTCTACTGTTTTGTCCAACTTTATAATATCTAATAAGATAGACAATTCTTTTTAAGGAAACAAGGGACAACGTTGATAACCATTGTTGATAAACTTGTACTCTGTTCTACACCATGTGCTATGTCTATCCTTGGTATTGACTGACAGCTTTGTTTTGCCATATTTGACTGTATTCTTCCCCCCCCCAAAGAAAGTAATAAGCACTAAGGAGTAATAAAATCCAAGATGTGTAAATTTTGTTGTAAAAAAAAAAAAAGAAAAAGAGCTCTAACGGATATAACAGCAAGTGTGTTTGGGGGTGTTAAATAGCTGACTTTATCAATGTTTTTGGAACATTGAACACAGCTGTTTGCAGTCTCCCTGTTTGAATGTCCACCTTGTGTTCTTTGATACTATGATTTGAGGAACTATTTTCAAGAAGATAGTGTGTAATCTACTAGCAGGTAATTTCTTACTGTTATGTTTTTTTTGTTTTGTTTTGTTTTGTTTTGTAGTTCTGTATTGCGTGTACCCTTACGCCGCTTTGGTTTGTTTTGTGTTTTTCTCTTTTTCCTCTTAAATAAAAAAAAAAAAAAAAAAAAAAAGTTATAGGCCACTGGAGATAGATGATTTAGCCAAATTCAGACGGAGTCAGAAAATTATAGCAATTTCTACCACCAGTCCACACAAACCTTTCTAGTAATCATCAAATAATAAAAATATGCTCTAGAAAGTTAAGAAACACCCCAAAATCTTTCCTTATTTCTCTTTGCAGGATATAGTAACTTTTATGACAGCACATCATGCAACACGGTAGAAAAACTGGGTCCTTTGGAATTTTATACAGCTTTCACCTCTGATGCTGTACAAACATCATGTTTCTCTTCAAACCAAAAAAGTAGACAGAGCCAAAATACAACTGGCTAATAAGTTCGGCCACCATAGATTATGCTGAGGACCGGAGCTCCTTCATCAGGAAG